GAGATATATGCTTTGTATTCAAAATTAATTAATAAAGAAAAGATGTAGCCATTCAATTAAAAAAAAAAATGTTGTTTCAATAATGATACCGAACTAAAATTAAAAAAAAAAATTGTTTAAAAGAGATTTGACACTTTACAATTTTTTTTATGACAACTGCACGCAACTTTACTATCGTGACCAAAACTTTAATATGGATTCTTAGGAAGGGTCATAGCGTGTAGTAATATAACCCAAATTATTTTTGAGTTCTAAAAGAAATTTCTTCTAAAACAATACACAAGATTTTTCTCGGTCGCTACAACTCTTCCCACTTAAAATAATTTCATCCTCGAAATTTAACTTACTTGTTTAAGGAGATCGCAATAATTGTCTAAAACATCTTCTCTTTCTCAAGTAGTCTCATCCTCACCATTCTACCCCACTGAACTTTGACTAGTGGAATCTTTCGGCTTCTTAGAACATGGTCCTTTCTCTCTAAAACTACTGCAGTGTATATCTTCACAACATAGAAACACGAAATACATTGTGCATTGTCAATAACTTGGGTGGCAATGCTAAATGATGTTCGACATTCCCAACTCTTTCAAGAATCTTAAATGGACCAATAAATCTAGGACTTAATTTTCTTTTCTTCCCAAATCATAATATTCCCTTCATCGGTGTCACTTTGAGAAATACCTTCTCGCCAACCTCAAAAGTCAAACTCTTTCTCCTTTTGTTGGCATAGCTCTTATGACAATATTGGGCAGTCGTAATTCTCGATCTAATTTTATATATAGCCTCTATAGTCTTTTCGACCAATTTTGGAGCCAAACTCTCTTTTCAATAACTTTTTCTTTCAAAAATTCTGATCATGTACAGTGTTCTTGACAACGTCAAAACTTCGTGTAATACAATCTAGTATTGTAAAGGCACCCATGCCTTCACTTTCATGGAATTTTTGAACTCAAATAAAGTTCTTCCCCAAAAATATACAACCCGAGGAGGAAAATAACTTTCTCCTTTTAATTCCAGGTTTGGCTTCGCAACTCAGGAACCAAGAAATAGTCATGATTTCTGCACTTAGGGTCTATTTGATTGAAAACAATGAATATAGAAAACACCAAATAATGCAACGTCGGGAGTCCTCTAAACAGAAACATAAAACCTTGATCGGGACAATGTACTTGTACAATCATCCAAAAACATTTACATCATTACAAATGGAGAGGTTGGGGTCCTAATCTAAGTCAGTAATGTTTGGGGCCCTGTTGACTTCCTCATCTACAGCATCAGCCCCATTCTCGATCATGGTCCTCTCCGATGCGGAAAGCTCGAGAGAATCAATAACCATGGGTACAAGCACAAGATTAGCGGGATCCACATTGGTCAACATGGATAAGTTGAAAACC